AACAGAGAACCGGGGAAAACGGCACAAATAAAAGGAAAAGAGCTCCCTAAAAAATGGAAATGTAAAGAAATCCTCGGGCGACTCTTTGGCAACGCAGTGCCATGAAAATCCTTTGGAATTGCTCCCCGGAGTGTTATGAATGTCGATTCAATCGGCTTTAAATGAATTTATTTCGTTGTGTTGGGCGATGGGTGGTTGTGGAGTCTAGGAACTCTGGCGGATGGCTTCGCTCTCTCATCTCAGAGATTTACGTTTTCACTTTCCGGTTACCAGGACTTAACTTATGATAATTGTTGGGAATATTTATCCTCCATTTGGTTTTGGGTTGGTCGCTGGGAAAAATATAGTTGGAGCCACAAACAAACAACTTTTCTATTCAATGTAAATTTTCAATTACATATTTATGGCAATCCAGCCTGAGCTCATCCATAAATTGTACAAAAAATGAAGGGATTCGGTTTTTATTTGAAATATTTTTTGGTGCCAGCAGCTTATTTCGAGCTTTTCTAACCATCCACTTTTAATTGTAAACCGCGGAGGCAAACATGTTCTTATATACCCTACATTTCTAGAAAATGCCATTATTAAACTCCCAACCTTAAAAAAATTCATTTAGGTTTTTAAAACCAATATAGAAATAAGAGTTTACAAATATGTATTAGCAGAACTCAATAATATTATTATGGGTTCAGAATTTATGATATCATCGTTTAACGGATAAACTAGTTTTGTACAAAATGAAATCCTCACCAAACGAATACAAGTGGTTATTTCCCATTTTTTAAGGGTATTCAATCATCGCTTTTTGTTTTGCTTTTTTTTTAATCTAACAACTAGCAATTGAAAGGTTTTGAAAACGCAGACTGCTCCCTACACACACTCCCATCGATGGACAATCAACGTTCCTGGGCTTTTGCTTTTGTGGTTTCAACAATGTCTCGACCCACCGATGTTGGTTCAATTCTATTCGGTTTGGTTTGGCTTTTTTTGGGCCTGGTGCCGACACGATTCTGTGAATTCGTCTAGGCCAGAATGAAATTCCTGTTCCCAACTGTGACGCGTTTGATTTGAAGGTGCCTTGTAGTCATTGGCGCGACAGAAAAACTTCCCAACCGCAAACTTGTCGTGGGTGTTGATTAAATCGACTTGTTGCGGCTTTTTCTTGAACGTCGTTGAGCGTCGAGTAAAAGACTGGAACCCTTTAGAGATTTGATTTCATATTGTGAGATATTTTAAATTAAATTCCATTTTTGGATTTCAGCGTACACAAAGGAGGAGAACCACTCTTAAGCAGTTCAACTTAAGCGAATAAAAGAAAAAGGGTGCTGGGCCCAAGTAAAGAAGATAAAAGTGAGCAGATATGAAGTTCAAATTAGTTATGAACCCACAAAGGAGACGAGCTGAGTCATAAAGCCAGATCTGGCCAAAACAAACTTCAAGTGGGCTGAGCAATGTGAAAAACATTTTCTCTCCCCATGAAAACTTGACTGCTGGCAGCTGCAAGGGCCATTAAAAGTTTTGCGTACCCGCTTGCCCATTAATACATAGATTAAAAAGATTACAGGAATAGTTGCACAAATGCCCGAACGATAATTGCCTGGGCTTTAGAACAGAAGACCGGCCCACTAGGGTGGGTTAATTTATGAGGATAAAAGGAAATTCAGGGATGAAATAATATTATACTTGTTATTCACAGAAATATTCAAAAGTAGAAGGAAACTTTTCCAAATCCATATTGTTGTATTTCGTGTATACTATATATTTCATATAATTTGCAACAGTCTGAGTGAATCTGATACACTGTGCCACCGGTAGCAAAAAATAACTAACCACTAATGTCGCGCGGTCGGCTTTAAAAAAGCATTCAACATGTAACAGAATAGAAAAATACGAAATTCGCTTCAATGGCTTTGGAATTTGGAAAACGCGTAAAGATCAGCAGCCAGCTAAATGCCATTCTGGTACATGACGAAGAGGAACAGCATGATGATGTAGGTTAGCCCGCGCTGGAAAAGCATGGGGTCCAAGAATTTGCGTCGGGTGGGCTGAGAGGACAGCTGGCGCAGCATCTGGGGCGGCAAGGCCCTGATCCTTGGCATCGCCTCCGGCGTATATTCGATGTAGCCGCGCATGAACATGCTCGCCTCGGGCAGAATGGCCAACTCCCTGACGTATTCGCCGGTCTTGAGCATCCGACGACGTTGCTCCTGGATGGTCCGGCATGAAAGCGAGCGCTCCAATGACCTTGAGTGACGCACGGTGATGAGCGTGTTCTCTCCGACCCGGGATTGGCAATAGGGGCACTTGGCCCGGGACCTCTGGGTTTTCATCCAGTCGCGGATGCACTTGGCGCAGAAGTGGTGGCCACAGAAGCTCACCCTGGGAATGTGGGCCGTGCGCATGCACACCAGACAGGTGAAATAGCTGTGCTGATCCTTCGCCGACCTCTCATCATCGTCGCTGTTCCCGCTGCTGTCCTTTTGAGTCGATTTGTCTTCCGCACGATTGACTTGAGCCATGATTTGTATATGTCACGTCTTTACAGTCCGAGTGTCAGAATGAAGTGGGATTTACTTAGTGCCTAAAACTAGAACTCACTATTTCCAGGGCCTGCTTGAGTTTCTCGAACAGGGAGCTCCAGATTTTGTCCCTGGCAAATGCTGCTTTGTAGCCCTGCAGAATGTCGATGAGCTCCATGAACACTTTGCGGCCATGATTGTCCTTGGGTGCACCGTCTCGGTAGAGCAGGAGAGTGGGGTTGGTCAGGATGACCAGCAGGCGGATCAGCAAGTCGGATAGCTCCTCGTGATGCACATAATCGGGCAGCATATAAACCAAGTCCGTTTGTAGCACCTTGGATCTGCCCAAGTGACGGCGGTACTCGTGGTTGTCCAGATCGCGACGCAGGATCCAAATCAGGTGCTGGAAAACCAGTAAATTGTAAGATTTAAGGGAACTTGGGTAAGTAAATAGAGGATTTACCTTGAGACCCTCGGTGGCATCGGGCTCCGCCTGATATTTCTGGCCATCGCTGTAACCCAAGGCTGCACACGTGGCGTCGATGTCCGCCAGCAACACAGACATCTCGGAATGCACTTACCACTTTTTGTTTATGCTAATAAACAATTATTTTACTCCGCGATATAAACAAACAAATTCACAATGCTTTTTGCATTAAAAGCGCGCGAAACTGATCAGCTGTTTGCAACAGCTGAGCGATCACTTATCGGTTCAGCACCAAACTAAGTCTTAGCGATGACTCAACCCATTTAAGTGAGATGCAATCGATAATACCATTCAAGGTTATCGATCATTTTAGACCACATCTTGACTTTTAGTACATTTCCTAACGGAAATTCAAATTTGAATTCGAATTTGTTTTAACTTTTCCAAAACCCTTTAAAGGTAGCTCCCCAACATGTTTAATCCCAATGATTCAAAGTTTATATTAACTGAATTTAAAAACTACATTTCAACACGACAGCTTTAGCTTATTATTTTAAAGCGAACATTCAATGCCATTTAAAAATGCAAAATACATATACTTCGCAAATGTTTTCTCTTCGCAAATAATCTATATATACTTTAGCATAAAACACTTTTCCAATGCGTATGTACATTGTACACTCATTCGTTTCCATTTTAAATCGATTTAAATCGAAATTATTTGCTTGCACAAGTTGCCCACGCCCATGCAGAGCGTTTCATTTGGTGAGCGGGGGATATAAGATCCTTGAAGAAAGCAAAAGGAAAGTGCCTTTTGTGTGTGCTTGTCTCCCAGTGCGGTAAATTTAAATCTTTTCACCATTTTCATTAGTCATTGGAGCAGGAAATTGCTGAGGCCAGACCGTATGAGTCATGCAAATAGCCCTGGTCAGGAATGGTCAGGATGCAGCCGCTCTAATCACCCGGACACATTAAAAACCGAAAGCAAAAGAAAAGGCGAAATTAAAAGCAAACATCGTGGCTGCCGACCAGTATATATTTACCTATGATATGAACAAATACGACGAGCAGACCGGCAAACTTTTCCCAGGAAGGATGGAAAACTTGGGGGCCAGTACCTGCTCTGCCCGCCCTGCAGCGCTTCACTTGCTCTCTTGCCTCCGCCTCCGCTGTCATTTCCCTTGGCCGAAGAAGTTGAATTTAATTAACTAAGTAAATGCCCAGACATGGGCTTGCTTATTTATCAAACTTCTCAGGACTGCGATGATGGGCAACTAGTGCACTGCTGGAAAATCATACAAGTAAGCCATTATCTATCATGATTTCTTAAATCAGAAGGACCTCGAAATTCTTTAATCACCTTTTTATTCAGTCTTTTAGAAGCAGGTAATTTATTTATTTTTTATCAAGTGGTTTATGGATAAAAGGTTACTGTTTTGTTTACGGTTTTATATACAAATAGGTTATGTTTAAACATAAATTAAATTTCAATTCAATTTTTGTAACATTTTCTCTCTGTGTAAGACTTGAGCTAACTACAACAACTTGCTGACCAAATAAGCAGAGCACGTCAAAGAGCCCAAGTTGCCGGAGAGCTCGGGGGACCGCTCAGTGACTGAATGACTGACTGACTGAAGACTGGGCGAAGGACACTATGCAAACCTGATTATAATGTGTCAAATCCATTATGTGCTGTCAGGCTTTTAGGCACAAAAAGCGCTCCCCTTCCCCATGATTTTCTGGGGGTCACCGAACGAATTTCTCAACTTTCGAGACAACTTTGGCCCCGTCAGGTTCTGCTGGCCAGACAAAGTTAATTATAATTCTGGGCCTCAGTTAAGCTGTCGAGTGCCGTAGGCCCAATTAAATGCATCGCCACAGAATTTACTGAAATCGAAATACATTTTCAACATATTTTAAAACGGCCTCTATAAGCACTAAATTAATTGTATTTAATTGCCATCATAACCCAAGGGAATTCCACTGACGCTTCATTTAGTTGAATATATCAAACACCTCTAAATGATTATAAAATAATTTGTGTATTATAATTACTTAAACTATCTAATTTTAATTGAGCTCAAATATATTTAGCAATCTCCTGGCCTTCAGGTACTTCAATTTCGTTATGGCGTTGATTCTTCACAAACTGGCCATTGAAATGGAAGTCAAAGGGATATTCGGCCATATGCTTCCATGTTTGAGGAACGGCAGGATGGGCCTGGTATATCCAGAAACAGCAATAGTTCTCAATCATTTTTCCTGTCCGGTTTTTTTCACTAGGCAAAGTTCGCACTTGACGAGTCCTTCCTTGAATGCGTCTCAGCTGAACAGGACCCAAGATATCCTTGCTTTCACTTAGTGTGGTTATTTCCTCTGGGATTTCGAAGTCATCTAGGGCTTCCAGGGGATAAGTGATGTGCGGCAGTAAAACACATGCCACTATAACTAAAGTATTCCAAATTGGTGCTCGAACAAAATGATAAACTACCTCCCTGCTTACCAAAGCCTAAAAAGTGTCTTTTCATATTGAACGTCTGTTCAATTTGAAGTCTTTGTTTTGAATAATAAATAGCTTGATGAAGATAAAAGTTGACTATGAAATGCTTAATTAAACGTGAAATTACAATTATTTCATTGGTCACATGTAAAATTTACAATACATTATTTACATACTAAGTTTTAATAAAAACGTATTTAACATATTTTGTATTTTGAAAGAAATATATAAATAGGTAATTTTTTTTAAGTACAGAAAGCTTTCTGGAATTCAAATATATTATTTGTAATTTAACTTATATTTAACCGATGCATTATAATCTAGCATCTAAAGTATGAATTTTTTAAGTTACACCTGAAATAAATGACTAACGGGGCAGGGAGAGAATAAATGTTTAGAAACACCACCTGCTCTATTCAGGTCCAAAAAAAGTGTTCCACTACGAGCCTTAATTCCCGCGATCGACGTCGCCACATGGAGCTGCTCGTTAGTGGCTCCTATTTGGCTCCGGGTGAGCCATTGTGAGTGCTCAGCCGGGTTGGCAAACAAAGTCCGGCCGGAATAGGGAGCGCAGATGGCCGACTGCAGCCCAAAGGCAACTAAAAGTGCAGCGGAATAACAGCAACTGACAGATGTCAGCTGCCATGTTGGCTTTGCAGCTTGTGGCCGCCATTTTGCCAGCATTTGGGCCACCTCGCAACCCGACGCTTCTGCTGGGCTCCCAATCCTGTTTCCAGTGTTGTTGGATACCAGTGCACCCAAGGTACGATTTTCCTTTCCAAGGTACAAAGCCTTGAAACTGATACTTCTTTAAATTAAACTCATAATTTGCTTTAGAAATATTATTTAGAAAATCACACATTCTGAAAACATTTATATAGATGACTAAAAGTATGCAACGAATTTTTACATTTCAGAATATAACATTTTTATAACTAGAAGCTGAAACTAAATTTTTGAATACATTTTTTCATAAAATATTTTTTTTATTTTTCCCCGTTTTTGGTACTACCCTTTATAGGAACTTTGACCATCCCTTTCGCGGCCGAATTCAATTGTTTGCAGAGCCTTCATCTTGCATTCTGATTGCGCGGCTTAATTGCATAGCAGCCGCGAACTGGGCCAGATTTGGTTTTGGTTTTGTGTTTTCCGTTGGCCGAAAGGTGAAAGCGAAAGCTGAGTGCACTTCTATAGAACCGCAGCCAGGACGAAATGAAATTACCGCCAGGCCACAAGGAAAACAGACCCGAACTGCGTGTGGCTTCCTTTTCATCCTACCAAAACAAAGCAAACGGGGAAACAACCAAAAAAAAAAAAATAGGGAAAAAAAAGGGAGACTCTGAACAAAGCGTAGAAAACAATTTCCAAACAAATAAAACTCACACCTGAGACTTTGGAGCCCACAAGTGTTCTGGTCAGCTGGTTGGGGTCTCACAGCGGTTGCCCCGGGCGAAAATGGATTGTTGTAAATCAATTTGTACCAGACCAGGAAAACAACAACAATCCGCAATTACATGGGCGTTTTTCAATCTGAATGACGGAAAAATGAGAGTAGTCAACGCAATTTGTTCTGATGGCCTACGATTTGTTTTAAAAGTATTTAAAGAAAAAAGTTCAATTACCATTTTAAAGCATACTTTTTGGCGTCACCAAAAAAAAGTTTATTATTTCAAATAATAATTGTTGCTCTGCAAATTGTAACAATAAAACTTCTTTAATTGGAAATCAAATACAGTTTTTTATTTTTATTGACAAATTGATTTTACCTCAATAAAAGTGTATAAAAAAGTTCGGAAAATTTATACATTCTATGACTCTAATAAAGTGATACAAATTACACTTTTTTTTAAACAAAATCACACAACTTTTTCGATTATTGCAGTATAACTGAAAACATAAAAAGAATGTGTGGTGTTCTGTGCAAAATTTTTTTGTTAAATCATTTAAATAATCATATCTATGTATGATACAAATTAAGAAAACAAACATCCATAAACCAGTATACCTTTCCGCTTAAATGTAGGGCATTCGAGAGTATTGCAGTTCCCCCACAAAAGTGTCACGAGATGAAAGTGAAAGTGCGCCAAAGGCTACCCTAGTCTCTATATATAAGTTAGACCCACACTTCAGCCCCGGGCGAGAGATACTCCCATACCAGCTGGAAACAAATCAAAGGAAAATTGTAAACGACAAGTTAATCTCGCTTGAAGTATAACCGGAAGCCATTTTATGACCCAATGGACAGTGAGGGGAACATGTAGAGCTGCATCCTGAGCACATTTGCACCGAGTAACCACTTAAGTAGAACAATTTATTCTGCGCATTTGGCTGGGTCTGCTGCAAAATGAATTAAAGTTCAATAAAAATGAGGAGGAAGAAAATGGAAAAGTTTCCTTTTCGCCTTGGCAGGCTGCGGCTTGTAAGCGTCTTTATCTGCCTTTGGCCTTTGTTTCTTGGGTATTTTTTCTGCCTTTGGGTTTTCCTTTTCTTGCCCCCGTTGTTGTGGCAGCGTTTTTCATGATGTTTGCACATTCGCTCCTTGTGCCGCCCCAAATTTTGAGTTACAAAGCCAAAATCTCAGCAATCTGGGGCCGGCAACGAAAAAGCTGAAATACCTTTTGCATGCTTCATTGGCATTGCCTTTCTGCTGAGTGAACATCAAATGGGATTTGTCTGCCGGGGCTCCGACCGCCGGACATATGTATCTGAATCTGTATCTCGGTATCTGTGTGTGGCTTCCTGTTGCGTAACAGTTCAATGGTGTGTTAAGCACACATCCACATCCACATCCACGGCACCCGAACCCAATTGATAGATGGATGTTTATGTGCCAACAGGCACAACGGCATCCCCAACATGACCCACAGCCCATAAAATAACCCAGAAAGGTGTCGATTCTATTTGACTCTCGGTGCAAATGTGAAATTGCAGTTTCTGCCGTGCCTCGGCTGCACTTAGGCAAATTAATCCCATCAACGAGATGATTGTTAACCGCAATCGTAAACCCAACTCAAACGGCGAGCGTTTGACTTGTGTCCTCGACAAAAACTCTTTGAGAACGACACACACAATATGCGATGCCGAAGGCAACCCTCAGGACTCCACACTCATGAATTGGGTCGAGAATCACGTTTGACAAGGTTTCAGAATGTTGGGAAAGTTAAATAAAATTGGAATTTAACATTTAACCATTTAAAAATGTTAGTCATTAAACATTCTAAAAATTTTTAAAATCCTAACGAGCCTTGTTGAAAATGTGCTAATGAAGTACATGCTAGGTTCATTGCGAGGCTTTTTGAAAAGCTTTTTGCCAGGCTCCTTGCGTGGATTATTGCGAGGGTCACTGCGAGCCTCATTGCGACTCTCATTGCGAGACTTATTGCGAGGCTCTATGCGAGGTTCATTGCGAGGCTCTTTGCGAGGCTCGTTGCAATGCTCATTGCGAGGGTCATTGCAAGGCTCATTTCGAGGGTCATTTCGATGCTCATTGCTAGGCTCATTGCAAGGCTCCTTGCCAAACTCATTGCCAGGCTTATTGCGAAGCTCATTGCGAGGTCAATGTACAATAAAGAATGCATTGTCTTAGATCCAGCAGTTTATAAATCTTGGACTTGAAGTTTGGGTAACAGAATACCTTATTTACTCGTATGCCTGTGGAGATGTAGAATTTACATATCTATCTGTAGAGCTTTAATCGCATCTGGTTTCATACGGCCCTGCCGTATCCATCCACCTTTCGATGACTACGCCTGTGTATCTTTGTGTACACTTCGTTTTTCCCTGCCATTTATTTGTTTTTTATGTTTTTTGAGCGTCTGCCAGGCGCATAACTCAAAGTGCTTGAGTCTGAGCCTTCGATGCCGTGCAGATAATGATGCTAAAAGTGTCGCATTCGGTGGAGGGAGCATCTCCGATCCAGGTAAACCGAATACCTCACACGTGAAGCAGGCAGGAATAACATATCGAACAATGAATTTCATTGAGTGGGTTGGATGGGAGGGTCTGGAGAAAAAAGCCTCGGGGCTGGGGAAAGTGAGCAAAGTCAGCGAAATCTGTTTCAATAGCTTTTGTCGGGGGTTTAGGGTTTTTGGATGGGGGTATGGTATGACATGGGGGTATGTAAAGCCCGCCAAAGTCATAAAATCGCGAGAGGAGCTACAAAACATAAACAAGGAGACAGAGTGTGAGGGAGCAGCTATAATAATGTAAAATATATCGCCGGGATTTTGGCGACTTGGAGAGTCAAGGTCTGTGCGTGTGCTGATAAAACCGAGTTGGGGGGACCAAAAAATAAAGCCAACTGGCAGGAATAAAATAACGAAATGGGAAAAGTGTTGAGAGCGCGTGGCGAGCACTTCAAAGTCACAAACAAATGCATAAAATATCAGCTCCATATTATTCAATTTGTTCTAATAGCCGCGCTTAACTTACCAGCCAGCACACATGGCGTATGCGCAACGTTTAGCGCCCTGGAGCTCAGGAAAAGATTTGGCCGCACTTAATGGCCGACAAAGAAGTGTATTGATGATGTCGAGCATTTCAACTTCAATGATGCGCAATTTTATGCATAAGTCTTTTACATAAATTTCGCTTCCATCGAAAGCGTTTATGTCTGCACGAAAGGATTTGCAAAGCGCCAGCAAGGAGATTTTGTCTTCCCGGGGCTTTTAAGTCACTTTTTTTTGGTTATGGCATCGATGGGAAGTGCGTAAAAACGTTAATACGTCTTTGAAATGCGCCTCGTATTTTGCCCTCTGCCTCTTTGATTCACATTTATGACATTTGCTGATACAATTTAGCGGAAAGCCAGGCCTCGGGAAAATACTTTGCATTTATGCAGATCAAGGCGAATTTATTGAAATTGTTGAATACTTGCCGAATTTATGCGCCATAAATCTGTTCAGATTTGGGCCATAAATCAGAATTAAATCAGGAAAACAAACTTGATTTCTTCTAATAACACTAAAAACTTTTCAAATATTAAAATAATTGTTCTATAAATATAAATAATTTTCATTGTGATATTTACAATATTAAACAAAAAATTGAAAAATTATCTTTGTATTGTTGTTTCTTTTTGTTTAAATATAATGAGAAAACTGTAACTGCATTTTTTTCAAATATTTCAAACATATTAGTTAAATAAAAAAATAATTATATTATTTTCGCAGCAGATCAATATTTTTTAAAGTTACAAGGCTCTCCCTTATTTTTAATCAGCTTATCCTTTCGGGTGTACACTGTATCCTTTAATAAAATTTCAACTATCAAACCCCTAACTTGAATTTGCGTAACCCACAGAGTTGAGACATTTTTCGTAGGGTATTTTTTACCCAGCTCGCAATTTGTTCAGCTTCGATTTCAGCAGTTCCAATTACCATTCGTGGGAGAACAGATAGAAATCCTTAAATGGGGTAAACTGGGTGAGGGAAATTTATTAAGTGATAAATTTTGGGGCATTGCGAAAAATGTCAGAGAAGGTCAATCGAAAAGGGAAAGCTGGCGTTGGATTGGAAAGGTTGGAAAGCTGCGTCTTTGGGACACACCCGGAAAACACACTCAATCAGAAGTCTGTCCGTTGTCAACGAAGCGAGAAAGGAGGTGGCCAGAAGAAGAAGAAGAAGGCGGTATCCTTGCCTCCAAAGTTGGCCAAAAACGAAGTGAAATGAAAATGGCGCACAAAACAAAAGCCGCTCAGAACAAATTACCAGAGACGTATTTTCTATGGCTTTGCCTTTCTTGCCTTTTGGAGATGGAGGCCATTTGGCCTAGCCTGGTCAGGACCATTCCCTTTGCAACTTTTCTGTTTCAACTGTTTGCCAATTGCACTTTTCAACTGGCCCCATTCGGTGGGTTTTTCTTTCCTTTTTTTTCTGTTGTTTTTTTTGCCCGTTCGAAGATGGCCAAAGTCCAGTTTTAATGCCGCCGTTAGTGCGATATGTTGGGTTGCTCCCTGGAGGCAAATGTGTGTACAGCTGCGTTTCACGTTCACTCGAGTGTAGGGACAGAGACCCAATTCGGTTTGGGTTCTCGGGGTGAAATGGCCAAGTAGACAGTTTTTCAGGGGCCAGCCAGCCAGTCAGCCATCCAGCCGGCCAACCCATTCACCCATTTAAACATTTATGTAATAGGCTTGAAATTTCCATTTGGCAGCCGCAAAAACTGCACAGCTGTATGGCCACAATGAATCGTTAGAGTCTCCAGCTGGACACCTTAGAGTCTTAGGAGTGGATCCTATCCCATCCAATCCTATCCCACCCTATCCTGCAGCTGCACCTGCACACATCTATTAAAAATTTAAAGCAGTTACACACAGTTTCCCTCGCCCAACCGCAATGAGTCTTAAGCAGGTAATCCTGCCGGCTATGACCCACTCCTGGTTATTATTCAGTTAGAGATGAGCAGGCGAATTGGAGTATCCTGCAGGACAAAGGTAACCCACTGAGCTTGAAAGACAAAGGATTTGAAAACGACAGCTGCGAAATTGGGGCAAGCGAAAATAGAAAGAATGAGTGATAACAATAAAGAGGTATGATATATCACTGTAAATTCATTCAATTATTTTTAAATTGGGCTTAAATGAATGTTTAAATTTTATAATACATCCTCCGTTTATATTACTTACTTTAATATTAAATTTATATATTAACTAATTCAATAAGCTGAAAAATGTTGGTTATTTTTGGTTTATTATTAGTTTTTCAAGGCTTATTTTCTCCAGGGTTTAGTAAACCATTCACGGTCTGTTGAAATTTGTATGTTTAATCGGATGGATCAATAAAATATGCGCTTTACAGATGCTTCATTCTCTCTACACTGCTATAAAAGTTGTCCAAGGGAAAGTCTAAAAAAAAACATTATCAAATTGATTTCGTTATAACTTTTGCTGTCGCTCTGCAGGCGTTACCATGAATATATTTTGAATGGATTATATCACCATTGGATCGCCGCCTTGCATCTCTTGCATCTCTGGCTCGAATTTCATTTAATTTCAGTATGCCACCGGCACACACTTTCGGACTTGCATTAATTTGAAATGCGACCTGGTCGCTGGATGGAAATGGCCAAAGTCCTTGCTGTTAACCAGGACAAAAGTGCAAGATCTGACCAGCTTGGCACGTAAGCTCGTTACGAATTTTAAATTGAAATACTTTGCCCTGGTGCAGGAGTACTTGCGTTTTTTAAGACCCAAAATTAGGTTTGCATTCCGGAATGCTAGCAATGTAGTACCCCAAAAATGGCGTAACTTTCATTATTAAAGTGCATTTCGTTTGGAGTTCGGTTCGGAACGACGGGGCAAGGCCAAAAGCCGCAAAAGTATTGGAAGGACGAGGCAAGCTCTGGGGCATTGGAGCAGGAATTGAAGCTCCAGTTGGATGCAACTCCCACGTCTATTTTTTGCGTTTTGCTTTTGTTCATTTTTAATATGACTTCTTTGCCTGTTGGCCATTTTCTCTCCTTTTTCCTCGGTTCTGGCCAAGTTCTGCTTTCTGTTTTCTGCTTTCTGTGACTGTGCCTGTGAGTGGAAGTGGCAGTGGGAGTCTGTCCTGTGTGCGTGCTTCAGCCAGAAAGTTGCGGTTTGCTTGCACTTAAATTATTGCATCGGAGAAAAGTCCTTGAGCCGCAAAGGCATTCGCCTTTTAGGGGGCATGGCCAGATGGCAATTAAATAATTTGCGGTCTATGTGCTGGCGAGGCGTAAACTTTTCAAAATGCTTCAAGAAATAAATTAGCCAAGGGCCTTTCGGCCAACGGAAACACAAAGTGCAAGTGCTCTGGCCGGATTGAAAAACGCCAATTAGCCCGGCCCAAAGGAGGTCAGGCTTATCTGCAGATAGCACATCCCTTAAATAGAAAAAAAGCCTACTCGGCTGGCTCACACAAAATGGCAGGCAATAAATCAATGGACCATTCCAGCCCCACCCTCCCCCACACACACACAAATGGGGCAACTATTTCATCTCGGGCCAACAAACTTGGCCAAAAGGGTTTCCCCCGTTTTGGCTTGTATGTTTATGCTGCACCAGCAGCAACTTTGGTCAAAAACAAACAGTCTGAAGAACGGATATGCGGCTTGTGAGGCATTTGGGATCTTCGATTAGTTTTCATTACGTTGTAATGCTGAGAAGAAAATTAGGTAAGGGATTCTTTTAGAGTAATTGCGGTATTGTTTTATTCAAACTAATTATTAATCTTTTTTGAGTTTTCATGAAGTTGTCCTCGATAAAAGGGCCAGTAAGGTACTCTATCCTAATAGTTTTAGACCATCTATGTACTCTACGAAAACTAATAACAACCAACAGCAAAAAATAGTATTTTCAAAATAAACTATAAATACACTTATTTATAGCGCCAAACTTCGAAACAATTTAATCCATAAACAATTTTATGCTGCTCTTTTCCGTTTTTTGGTCAAAATGATAAACTGAAAGCCCTGTTTTAAATTTATTTACATACAGGCTCAGCTTACAGGTTTTGGTATGTAAACAAAAGATGGCGCGAAATGTAGAGAATCCTAGTGTAAAATGTATGTAAAATATGGTGTAACGTCTGATTTTGGAACTAAATGTGGCGTGTAACTTACCATGTAAAAGTTGGAGTATTTTTCTCGGATGTAGATAAATATGTAGATGGTGCGTAGAATGTAACATGGCGCCAAATATTTTGAAAAAATATTCAAGAAACAAACAAGATTGTTCCTGGAAAAATAAAAAATTGTAAAGTGCTAGCTGAAAAGTATATAAGCAAAAAGAACAAAATAAAAACATATTTTTTAAAAAAAGGATACAACTCAACAAAGTTATAATTTTTGTAAATAACATTTTATTTGTAAACTAAGATTACTAAATTAAATAAAAAACTCTACCTTAGCAACGTGGTTTCCAAATGCAGCCCATTGAATTAATGGGAACTCGTTCTCTTATTGTTCACCCACGTAATAATTTGTTTATTCAAATTAGAAAAATTTGCGATAATAGTTAATATTACATTTACAATTATTTACTTGACTTATGAAGATCATATTCGATATCTGCATAGTGGAGCGGACCCTGCACTATTTACACATTTTTGCATATTTATATACATAGATATATTCATAGATCGTACGTATTCATGATTATGGATTACGATATAGTTATGTATAAGTATGTGCAATTATTTTAAGTTAGTTTGTATGAACATTTTACAGTTAGGCCTTAAAGCTATTTAATATAGAATTTGTATTTGCTTTTGCATTTGTTAACAAGGATCTTTCTGTTTTCTTTCTCATTTTTTGTTATACGTATCAATTTCTTTGTAACTTTACACTGAACTTTTTGACGTGAACGCAATCGGGGAGGTTGGGTTGGATATAAGATATTCAATAAATAAAACAGAATAGAGAGGTTCTAGAAATTCAGATGTTTTTGTGTGGCTCAGCCACATATTACAATTTGGAACTGAGAACTCAGAGGTGTATATAACATTGCAACAACTTGAATCCGGCGGAGGGGGCAGTCGGCGTTTTAGAAACAACAACAGCAGCATAAGCGGCGGCAACATCTAGTTGCTGTTAATGCACAAAATCGTTGGGTATATAATGCTGGGGCTCCACAATAACGCTGGTGTAATGGGGCGTGGCCACCACTGCCGCAGCCGCAGCAGCAGCATTTACGCTCTTGAAACTCTCGGCGAAATCGCTGACGACTCTCTGATGTTGCTGCTGTTGCTGTTGCTGCTGCTGGTGGGGCATGGCATAGTGATATTGCTGGTGTTGCTGCTGCTGCTGCTGTTGCGGATGCAATCTTTGCTGCTGCTGTTGCAGGTGTTGCTGCTCCATCAGATGTTGCTGCTGCTGCTGCTGATGTTGCTGCTGCTGTTGCGAGCTGTTGTCGGAAAAGTAGCTCAGCTCAAAATTGTGACTCAGATCGCTATATGTCGTTTGAGAGGGCGATGTACCATTCACAATCGAGGCATTGCCGGTGGACAACTGACGCTCACTTTCCGAACTGCTGGAACAGCTATTCGAATTGGCCGAAAAGGGACGAATCATCGAGGTGGCCACATCCACCGTGGCATCGTAGTCATAATAATAATGATTGTTATTATTGTAGTACAGATTGCCGGTGGTGGTGTCCGGATATTGCATTTCCGTGGAGTAGACGCCTGAGGACGAGGCCGAGGCACTGGAGCCACCTCCCGCACTTGAGGCAGTGCCTCCGCCCACACTACTACTCGAACTGACCACCAGGTCATTGAGCGGGGGATACAGTTGGGTGTAGCTCAGGCTATCGTGATCCATACTGCCCGATTGCTGTTGCATCTGATGGTGGTGCCACACGCCATTATTGTTATTATTATTATTACTGCTACTGTTGTTGGATGAGGGCACGGGCGTGACGGCATTGGGCGGCTGCAAGGGCAACTCCGGCTCAAAGTAGGGATCCAACTTGGGACTGGCACTCAGGGCCAGGCTGACGGGCGTTCCCGGACCACCCACCGGCTGACCCGTTGCGCCGGCGCATTGGGGTTGCACCACCGCCTGTTGGGGCACCACCACCACCTGGGCCGCCTGGACCGCTTGGGCCGCCTGTGCCGCCTGGGCCGCCTGAGCTGCCTGAGCTGCCTGGGCCGCTTGAGCCGCCGCTTGGGCCGCCTGGGCCGCCGGCGAGATGGGCTCCCGCTTCACAACGCCCGTTTGAATCTCGTTCAGCACCAAGTCTTTCACCTCTCGTTCGCTCAGCACATAGTTCACGCTCACGATGAACACTTCTCGCGAGGATCGCGAGTTGTGCACCAGGGTGGCGTACGACTGCACCCACACCCAGCCACCGCCCTTGGTCAGGAAGCGGTAGTATTTGGTGGTCACTTGTCCTTTGTACAGCACTGCAACGAAAATATAAAGTTTTAAGTTAGTGGAGGGTTCAAAAAATCAAGATCCATTTTTAAAAATGAATCTTTAACATTTTTATGATACACTAAGCCATAAGGAAAAATTAGTTTAGTTGTAAGTATTTATTCCAACTATTTTTTATTTATTGATAATCAATTTACTTTACTTTTAACCATGTATTTGGTAACTCTATAAAACCTAGCAGGTAATCTAATATATTTTAATAACATAAAATGTATACTGCTTGAAATAGTACAGATTTTTTTTGGTATTTTACTTTACTTTACTTTAGTTTTATTGGAATGCAGCTTGTATGCAGAAATAATACAAAAAATCGCAGGATTAAACATTCTTGATTGTAATTATTTTAGCAGTTAATCATGGGATTTTCTAGGTATGACAAGATTTTGAATACTTCTAAGAATTTGTGAATAATAATAAATACTTAATGAATTCATTGCCTTTTTAAGACAACATTACTCATTAGATCTTATTTAAATGCAAAAGTTATCTTAGTTTCTTATACTTAATGTTCCAAAACATGTTCCATTTAAATTATTTTTATACTTTAAATTGTTATTAATATTTTTCCAAGTGTATGGCTTAGTGCACGCGACATTGCAATGGATAAGAAGGTGTTTTCTTACGGATTTGATGGGAGCAGCGCATGGCCATTATGTCCGCGGCGTGGATGTACTGATACAGGGTCTTCTCGATGAGGTCCTGCGGTTCGTATCCGGTTAGCTGCGATACGCTGTAAGCAAATAAACAGGCGTCGGGAGTTAGTTGGATCATTTCCGAGGTCGAGGACAGCAGTTTCGCTGGCTTGTCCAAACAAAGAATGGTCATTGGTGTTGCCTTTGTTGCTGGTGTGTTTTATTCGGCTGGTTTACTTTTGTCGACTCCAATTCAATTATGCAGAAAAAACAAAAAACCCGCGAAGGAAAAGGGGCTGATTTTTGTTCACCACTTTGGGGTTGTTCGGTGCGAAAAAGGAAGGGCGCCAGAATGGGATGGCAATATGCCGTGGCATCATGAGGGTAATTGAGTGACAATAATGTCAGACAAAGTGGGCTGGTTTTTTGGACCGCCAGGCACTTACACCGAGTCTTTTTCCCCCTCAACACACACAAACACTCTCATACACACACACACACACTGACAAAGGAAAATCAAGCTCAAGAGGGAAATGATTTGTTTTTCTTTTCGTCATGTCGCCCCATCTTGCTTACATTTCCTTTTTCCTATTCATTTATTTTTTGTTTTTCGCCACTTTGAAAACATTATCTTTTCGGGGGCGGCTGCTGGTGCTTTTTATCGTGGTGTAAAAAGCGAATTCTGCGGCCCGTTTAAATATTTGCATAGTGTCGAATATACGGCAAACAGGCAAAGGATACTTTACTAAAGTGGCGTGGTAGATAAATACAGACCATTGATTAAACAAAAGTGTTTCTTTTTGAACTTTGTTGTGGTGTTCTTTAAAATTTAAAATATATTAACCTAATATTTAAAGCAAGGAAAGCTGTTACTATATTATGACATTACCCTAGTGAGTTTTTTCTTCGAATACTTCAAAAAGGGTTTCAAATTCAAATATTAAAATGGTATTGGATAATAACCTATGTTCCCTTTTTTATAAATCCTATAAGGTCGTACTAACATTGTATCTCTCGTATATATTTTTATATATTTATTTTTTAAAGCTCCTCTTACCGTGCATCGAAGAAGATGAGCTTCATGTCTAGCTTGGCCCGGAACATGAACATATTCTGGTGCAGCTTGATTTCTGTGATGGCAGATGAAGGCAACGAGTGACCGACGGCCACCAGGCCGAGATTCTGGATGAGGCTGCCCTGTCCATCCCCGCGATCGGGATAGATGCGAGCCTTCAGATAACCGGAGCAGTGTATCACCTAGAAGAAAAACAAGGGAGATTATATTTTATTATAAAAAATGTAAGTGCATTTTTAAATGTAATATTAATTTTACACCTTTTAACTATCATTAATGTGATCAAAATTAAATATACTTGTTTATAACTTGGATCTTGGAATGATAACATCAAAAATAAACAATGCGATCATTCTTTTTATTATGTTACTGTTTTATATCACTGTTTCAAGGGGTGCTATTAACCCAATGATGATCTTACCTTAAAACCGGAGGTGGTCAGCCCCGCATTCCTCTTGGCCAGGACACACTTCATGCGCAGGAAGAAGGTCTTCTCGATCTCGATGGTGTGCGATCCGCGATCGTGGTCATAGGCGGATGGGTGCTGGACGCCATTTGGACTGCCGATGGGCGTGTGCGTCTGGGCGAGCTGTAGGGAGTTGAGAAAGGCGGCCTGTGGCGTGAGTACAATTCAGAGTGGGAAAGAGATAGAGCGGCACAGAGCGAGAGAGAGAGAGAGGACAAACATTTTGAAATGTTTCGAAAGACTCTATAGAAATTCAGGCTGTACTCACTGGATGCTGGTTGATGTGCGGATGCAGCGACAAAATGGCGTTCATCTCGTCCTGATCGTAGTTGTGGATGTACTCGAATATCGAGTTGCCCGTCAGCTCAACCTGGTTAGAAAAAGATGATTTAATTAGGATAATCAAGGATAAGATTAAAATAATTTAAATGCTTTAAGTTGTTTCAAGAATGTGTCTATATGTTTTGATACCATTTCTGTGAACAATATCAAAACATTTTTATTTTTATGTGACTTTTGAGGATTTTAAAAAGTTTTTGTAATATTAAAGCAATATAGAAATAATTTGACATCTTTCCTAACCCGCAGTGAGTGCCAATTAGTGGGCAAATGCAAATGAATCGTCTTTTCTGAAGCCACAACACTTGGGCTCCTGCATCCAGGCCCATTGACTTGCAAATGCAAGTGGTGGCCAGGATACAAAAAGGCAAATTCAGGTGGCCCGGCAATTTATGCGCATAAATCAGGACAAGAGATCCCAACACTCACCTGACTGAGGCCCAAATGCACGGAGGCCGTTTCCGAGATGTACATGATTTTGCCATCCGGAGCCACCACGAAGATGAAGCCGTCCAGCGTCTGCAGCAGATGGGAGCCCAGCTCCTTGATGGTGGCACCACGTTGCATGGCGGGCGAGGAGCCCCAGGCTTCACCAAGTCCTGGAAAATAGAAATTTAGATTTAATAAATTTCATAGAAATTGTGGGGAAATAATTAGGAAATAAATATATTTATTGCCTTAAAAGAAATTTTATGTTTACAAATTAGAAACGAATATTATATTCCCCACAGCAGTATAAACTTTACAAACAAAAAATATTAACATCTAACTAAACCGTAAATTATAGTATCTTGCAAAAGATAATGCAAATTTAAATAAATTACTAATTAGACAACATCGTAGACTTTAGGGCGATATAGAGGGGCGTGATTTAAAAACGCTTCCATAGTTCTATATAAGTTTTGTAATATTTCTGTTTAGGTTGTAAACTATTAAATACATTATTCATTTGTTTTAAAGGCTTTCAACCAATTTGATTTACTTTAAACACCGATCCTATTGACAAGTTACTCCTAATGCCTCGAATTAATTGTTTGTCATCCGGGCAAAGTATCTTAATTCGCAAAATTCCCACCAGCAGAGGCAACGCACGCCCTACTTGCCACTGCTGACGTCTAAATATTATTCCCAATTAAAGTCATCGAGCGCCGTAGGTGGCCCATTCACAGCCCGCCGGCCACCCACTTGCCCACCCCCCACCCCATTTTCCACTGTTCGCACCATATATATTGTATATGTACCACATATATTGTCATGTATATGCCATAGCACTTCCTTGGCCCGTCCGGATCTCGTTGTTTGTTGCCTATTATTAAAATAATTATTTCAATAAAGGCAGAAAAGAAAAGCACAAAACGGTGCGGCAACAATGGGACGAAACACCCACCTCCCACCGCCCATCTCCGCCCACTCATCTTAAACAACCCTCTTTGTCAGCAGAAAATCTCAGTGGCGCACACTCGCCCATGGGCGGGGATGGCTGGAGGGGGCCGTTGGAAAATCATAAGGGGAGCCAGATTTCCAGTGCGGCACTCGTTGCTCGCTGCTTTTTGAGTGAAACAACAGACGCCATTGTGTTTCGGCCCACCCACTTTAGCCCGCTGTTTATTGTCTGCCCATTGTTGAGTGGTTTTCCCTGGCCTGTCCTCACAAAACATATGCTTTAAACAAACATCACCGTTTAAACTTGAAAACTTGCAGGCAACAAAAAAAACATATATATATATATGGAGGAGTTGAAATGAAAACAAAGGACCTGCTGTCCTGCTGTGAGGATACGTCGAGGTTGGATTATAATGAGCGTGGCGGTCGCGTGGCTGTCAAACATTCCGCATCATTTGTTATAGCCGCAAGGCGTAATTCACACGAGATGAAAAGCCAAGACCGGCGACAAATTGAGCGGCAATCAAGTGAGTTTTCCTACCAATAAAAAGTAAAAAAAAGGAAAACTTACCATCGGGAAAGACCTGGCGCATTTTCAAATACGATGTGGTCAGCCGGATGACGGAGGCCTTGTCCAGTTGCGAAGTAATCGCCGCTGGCAGCGGCAGTAATTTGGCCAATTCGCAGAATTCCGTGTTTTCCTTTTCACGTCGCGTGCGTGCCGCATTTTTGCTTTTCTCCTTCATGGCACACGTTTTTGCTATATCTGGAAAATCACAAAAAAAAAGATTGAAATACATATTGAGTAAGTGAAGGGAATTTTTAAAAAAATATGTATTCCATTTCAGAAAACCACAACCGACCATGTAATCTGCTTTCATAGCAATCCTTGCGCACTCTTCGATGGTTTGTCATTTTAAATGTTTTTTAACGAACGAAAAAATATAGTCCTGTTTTATAGATCCTGCTTTAAGACTCAGCACTTGCTCATATCCCTGCAATCACCTGTTTGAAACTGAGCTGCTTTCCTCCGGCACAAGCAGTTTTAACAGTTTCCCAACTGATCCCGAAAAGGATCTTCTACCTGATCTTGGAAAACAACCTGCCATTGGCTGATCACTATTTTTACCTGTTTATCCCAGGCAATTGACTTTTCGCAATGTTACTAATTCGACCTGATCCTTTTTGCTGAATGGCAAAACGGAAATAGTTGCCATCTCACTCGTTTTGACTCCTGCATTCAACAGGTTGACTTTGTCCGACCGCAGGAGTTTGACTTATATCTATATACAATGTATACTCGTGTGTCTGCATGAGCACATAATACTCAAATGATGTCCCACGCACACACATTCGCACACACAAAACGAGAGTTTAGGAGGTGGCAAAATCTATGTGTACCATATACCATACATTCGCATTCAGATTCAGGATGACCCACAGCCAGCATCTTGCCATTGATAGTTTTCGAACGTGATTTTGGCGCAGTTCTGGCAGAATCTAAGCCATTGGGTCTCCTGCTGCTTTATTTTCCATCGAGTCACTATTTTTGGGAGTTTTAAAGAACTTGTGACAGTGAGCAAAGAATTCGCACGTAATTGCAAGTTTATTGACACAGGTCACGTATTTTTAATGCAAAAAGGTTTGCCGAATGGCCCCCTAAGAAGTCAGATGTCTTTCAAGGTCAGATTGGTTATTATATATGTATTAAGTTAGATATCAAAAGAGTTAAAGCATAATAAAATGTACTATTAAATTAAAATAATTTTTTTTTAATTTTTAGGAATAAGAAAAAAATATGTTTGTTGCCATAAAACATGAAATTTATCAAGATGATACATAAAATATTTCATCTTAATTATGCAAAGATGTTATCAAAGAAATAAATTAAAAGTAAATTGTAGGATCCCAAGTCCGAATAAAAATGATGTATTGTATTGATAGTGTTTTTCATTCATTTACCATACAGAAAAGAAGCATTTGTCAAGAGTCAGAGATTGAAAGAATTGCCGACATCCGTTACGCATTCGCAGGAGCAACAGATTTGCTCAACGATCATAATCCTAAAGAGTATACCGCGCTAATCCGCAAGGCAAATGTGCCAACATGTTCGTCTGAAGTGAGGTTGCTTCCCTTTCTGTTTGGCAAAAACCAGGGGAAATAGGGAAAAACAACGAGGCGTTCCCATTTAGGCCGCGATTATTATAAATGCCTCGCGACCCGTGGACAAAATGCGGACAGGAGTCAACCAGGGGGATGAGTATCATATGCTGCGAAATCCATTTAATAGGATAGTTTACGAGCAGTAAGTGGGTCAGAATTATTCAGGATATAATTTTTTTTGCTAAAGAACATTACAGCATTTCATATAGCCATAAATATAGGCATTTCCAATGATATATCAACATTTTATGCCATAATCACAATAGTACCAGAACGGAAGTGGGATCTTAAATTCTAAAATAGGGAAATCAAAGAAACAATGTAATCACCTTTTAGAATGTGACATCATCTTTACATTTTGAATGTAATTCATTATTTAAAAATCCTAATTATTATAAATATTGTAACCTGGTTTAATGGATTCTTTAATTTATTGGTGGTTTCATATATTAGACTTTGTTTATAATAACATTTTTATAAGTTACATCTTCTGTCATGGGCGTTAAACTTTTTTTTTCAAATATTGATGGCTAAAAAAAGATCCCTCAGGCAAAGCAATGAGTAGAAACTCAATTTGCCAGCGCTTTAACGAGCAACTCAACGATCTCTTCCCGGAAAGTGAATAAAACTCCGACTCACGCCTCGAAGGGCAACTCAATGAACCGGATCTCAAGCCGAATCCCAGCCCCCGCCAACCAACTTGACCTTAATCTGGTTACAGGCAAACAGCAAACTAAAAACAAATGGGTAAAAGTTTAAAAATAAAGTCAACACAAATATTCACACTGAACTTGAACTAGAGAGTTGCACATACATATAGGAAGGGAAAGAAAGTGATGGGAAAGGAATGGTGTTGCGTAGGGACAGGTAGGATGTAAAAGATTCCCACGCAGTGGTAACTAGAAACTAGAGAGTCCATAAAGCAATTAACAGGACACTGGCCGCTGGTCCGATGCTAATGTGGGTGTTGCGGGCGAGGCGCTGCTTCCTACATCCCACCATATCCAGCATACCATATCCGATCCTGCTGCTAGTTTCCCATCAGGACGATCCACAGGTATGGATATGCTAAAAACCCACTGCTCGCAGCTCGGTTCTCACGCCAGCGCATAACCATCCGGGAATTTCCAATCGGCCAATTGATAACCAGACGGGGAAAAACGGCAGAAAAAAGCAGCACATGTCCTGGAAGTGTGAGAAACTTCCGAGGCAGTCAGGTCTGGGTATACCTGGTACTCGCATTGGTACCTCACCGACATTCCCACACATTCCCGAGGTGTCCTATCAGGTGGGAAGCTGTGGCGGGCGGAAAACTCGCCATACGCTGCAAATGTGCGTAACATATGCCACGGCCAAAACGATAAGAGCTCTGCTCCTGTTAATGCCAAAATGCTCAAGCACTTGGAAAAATAACTTAATAATATTATTAATTTCACCATAATCAACTTTATAAAAATAGTGAGACTGTCTTTAATGACTTTTGTAAGCCAGGAAAAATTATTATAACTATTTTTGACTCTCAAGATTTTAAAGAACATTAGTATATTATTATTTCCAAAATTATATTATAATCACAAACTGAAAAAATATTAAAAAGACGTTCTTTGTAAGATAATATTGTTTTAAAAACATTTTTCAATGACTGAAAAATATGTAATAACTCGTTTTTTAAACTTAATACTAGGAAGGAAATATCTCTGCCATTATCAAATCAACAACAACTCCTTGACTAAAGAAAAATATAATAAATTATTAATTACAAAAATTGAGTATTCCATTTAATTAAATTCTTAGAACTGATTTCAAAGTAGTACAAATTCAAATACCTTACTTTAAGATTTATTGAAATTAAATATTTTTAAATAAAATATCTTGGACCTTGAATTGATCATAACAATTCCATCAGTAAGAAATAAAATTCTGATACCTTTTTCGCTGTGCATTTTTTTCCACCCAACCCCCACATTTTTGGTCCTTTGCTCTTTTCCCGTGTGTTTTTCCAACGCACATGAAGTTTTTATCTTGAAACAACAGTCGGCGTCGCGTCGCTGAAGGGGCAACCTCCCTCGAAATGGGTCGCAAATTTTAATGCTCAGCTCGCGCTTAATTTTCGGATTAAAACCCGTAAAGCAAACAGCGGCTAAGGACACCAGGACACCAGACCAACTGGATGCGGATGTGGATGTGGATGTGGATGTGGACTCGCATCCGGACTGGCTGCCTCCGTACATTAACCCAATTTCAATATGCTTTTTGATTTGTTTGCGCGGCACTTTAACATTATCAAACAAAAGTTTATGCAATCCGAAGGGATGTGTGTGTGTGTTGGTCTTTGTTTGGGGGTGTTTGAGGGTGTTGGGCGTACGTTTTTAATTGCCTGCAATAACAAGTAACGACGGTCATAACAACAACAACGACAACAACCAGCCACCGAAATCTCAGAAACGAGGGAACAAAGCGTTGGCTTTGTTTTTGGTTGCCCAAATCCGCTAATTGCGCACAGTTGTCGTTGCTTTTGCTTTTGCCCCCGTTAAGATGACAATTGGCCCTTTTAGGGCGCCCTAAATTATGCAAGGAACGGCCTATTGATTAGCATAATGGTTTATGAGCAAAGAATTAGGCAAGGATTGCTCTTTGAGATCCAAGAGTTCCGCGAAACAATCGACCTTACACTTGGGCATCAAAATTTCTTCCTCAAAATGCCAGAAATTTTAATTTCTTTAGATATACAAATTGTAATTTATATATTTAATGAATATAATAAGAGGGTTAAGGTAAAAAGGGTTATTAACATTGAAATAAGTTCAGTCAATTAATTAAACCTAAGTGTTCTCATAAATAATTCTCTGTAAAGTATTAAAAACGTATTATCACAATTAATATAAATGTGTAAAATACAGAAATAAAAATACCAAGATTTCCATTTAATTTAATTTCTTTTTTAATTTAAAACTTTTTAATGTTCAATGCTTTCAGAAATTCTTAATTAAATCAAATTGCTTTTATTTATTCTGTAAAATCCCTTGCAAAACGATTTACACGAAATTAAATCTTCAAAAGCCCCACTGGCGTAAATGTACACTTTTAATGGCCAACAATAAAAACCTCGTAAAGCTCTGCAAAAATCAACAGAATAAATGTTAATCCCTTGCTCTTGCATCAATTGCAAAATGCCAGTGTAAACAGCAAATAAGAATTTAGTGTAGTGCGTTTGTAAATTTGAACCGAATTCCACCGCAATGAACTACAACGCAACCAATATAAATTATTTTATATTAATCCGGCAAATTATTTTGCATGAACTTTACCGTAAATCAGAAATAAAACACAACCAATGCAAACATTTGGCAGCCAGCGAAGTGAAAGCAAATAAAATCCAATCGATCCGTCTGACCAAACCCATAATCGTAATAATAATCAACCAGCACATCATAATCATTGTTTTCATTACACTATATTTTCAAAAATAATTATGCATGTATTTTATTTGTATTTGTTCAACAAACATAACCAGAGCTGCCGGTTCACAGCATCCAGTTTGGAATTATGTGGTGTTTTGGGGCTGGGGGAAAAAGTGGAAGGGGGCGGACAAATAGCCAGAGC